GAAATCTTCCCCAATTGAAAGCCATTGATATAGAGGCCAAAAATTAAGGTACCATAGCTTAAATCTTGGGGTACAGCAGGAGGTGGGGATGGGGTGGGGGAGAAGGTAGATTTAAAGATCAAGACAGAATGATTGATTTGAAAGAATCAAAGTAAGAATGATTTAAGGAACCACATTAAGAGAACGTAGAATTGGGGAAAGCAAAAGAAGGGGGTCTTTGACCAGTTTTTGAAAATTGGCATTTGGTAAGAAAACTTAAATGAATGGAATGATTTCCTCCATTCGTTGAATATGGAGGGAGAATCTGCTTTAAATGATGGATTTACTTGGCTTCTTCTAGGGGCTCATGGGTACTAGTCTCTAGGTTAGAAACCCAGAGTGACTAAGCTGTGGTTCTGAAAACTTACTTTTCATACAAAGACCTGAACCACTACCTTGGCTTTGGAAACTTTTCAAGTGAACCTTCACTTTTTTGAACTTTGAAGATGTAGAAAAATAAATCCTATGGAGAGTACACATATTACATGGGCTGTCTCTTGCACATATATACACATAAACTGAAACAAAAATTTTGTTTTTACCTCCAAGAATGTGCCTATACAGAATTCTAGGACCCCATTTTGCCTAGCTGTCTTGGATATTGGTCAGTGTTGAAGATGAAAAGGGGACTCTTGGATTCACAAAATATTTGGGAGTTGAAGGACACTTACAGATCACCTGAGGTTATCTGTTTATCCCAGTGTTTTTTTTGTGTGTGTTTTTTTAAAACTTCTTAAAACCTGATGGGGCAGGGCATTCTTGAGAGGGAATGTTATGTTCAAAGGCAATGAGGGGTGAAATATTATTAGTTATTAAGGAACCTTCAGTTATTTAACAATGCTGAAGCATGAAGTGTGAAAACATGATGGAAGGAGGTAAGGTAGGAGGCCCATTCTCTAGGGAAGACAGGCAGCACACGACAAGAATGAATGAGAACACACACACACATACCAAGCTATGGCAGTCATTTTCTCAAATGAGGTTTTATCTAAAACCAAAAATACAAAAAACACATAAAGAGGAGCTATTTGGTATAACCCACTCACCATAGTGGCCCTGTAAGCACCCCCACAAAACACTAGGACGCTGAAACACTGAGGACTGTGAAAACCTCTCCAGGGGTCAACAAACTCTTTTTGTAATAGACCAGATAGTAAATATTTTTGGTTTTATGGGCCATGCATTTTCTGTTGCAACTGCAAGTGCTTAGCTCTGCCATTGTTCCTGAAAGGCAGCCATAAATGGTATGTAAACCAATGGGCAGGGCTGGATTTGGCCTGCTGCTGGCCATTTTGCTTGCTGACTCCTAAAACGCCCCTCACTTTTTTTTTAAACAAATGGGGAGTATGAGGTTGAGAACAGGGAAGCAAGTTGTCATTAATTGCTACCTTGTTCCTTTACATTTTGTTGTGCTGTCAAATAGAAATTTCTGAAATGTATATCTGTGGGTGTGTGTGAGAGAGACAGAGAATGAGAATGAGCTTTGCCCAAGAGTCTTTACGTAAACAGTACCTTTGACCATAGGTAAAGTATTTCTATCTCATAAAGCAGAGGCGCCCCTCAAAGCATGCCACTTTGAGAGAATATGGTGTCCTTGTAGCTACTCAGTGGTTGCTTCTCATCATATCTCCAATGAATAGTCTTGCCCTGTAAAGATACCTGCAGCTCTGTGGCAGGAAGAGTTTGAGGCCTAGTCTTCTTGCGGGAAATGGCTATATTTTTAGCATTTTAATTAGACACTGATGTGATCATTAGAGTTACTGAGAGAATGTGAACTATGTCAAGGCTATCTGAAGTGAGTGCAAAGTTGAAAGGACTGGAACATGTGTGACTTGGTATTGACTTTTTGTCCAAAAAAGAAAAAACAACAACCCCGAGTACTTTTTGTGCCAGACACTCTACTAAGCACTTCATGTGTTATCTCATTCAATCATTATAGAGGTATGTGGTGTTATTATCTCCATGTGAAAAAGGAGGCTCAGGGACGTTATGTACCTTGCCTAAAGTTGCATTCCTAAGTGAGTGGGAGAGCCAGGATTTGGACTCAGGCATTCTGAGGTCAGAGGTCATGACCTTACCCATTTTACTATATGGCCTCTCTCTTCACCTGATGGCATTGAAAAGTGAAGTTTGGGACCTGGATGTCCTAATTATTGATCTGATATTTGAGGAAGTTAGCACCGGAGATAAGTTTGCAGAAAAGCAGAAAAGAAAAAGGGATTCATTAAGATGAAGGTAATTAAAAAAAAAAAAAAGATGAAGGTAAAAGTGAAGCATGTAAAGTTCAGTATAGTAGAGGAGTTAATAAACTACATAGATCTTTGTTCCTTTCTATGTGTAGATGGGATGTAGAAAACATAGAGTGTGGAACTTAGAAGATGACTGACTTTGTTGATTGCATCCGTAGGGTCTTGAATTGGTAGCATCGAGGAGTTGACCTTTTCTACCGTAACTTATTTAGGAATTAAACATTGACTAAGTGATCATGGTATTTATGGATGAGCTGCACTTTTCTTTTAAAGAAAGTGGGAGAATTATGCCAGCAACAATGGTCCTGCTGCCTTGTGAAAAATCATTCCAGTGGCAAACCATAATGGGATTCTTCTTGGCCTGCCTTGTGGAATTTGTCTGACCTGCGTGCCTGTCCTCAGCCAGCTCAGAAAACTCCCTGGGCTTTATTGCTTTTACCTTCGAGAGGGTTGGCTCAGTTACTTCTGTAGCTGGGGGTACTCTTGCTAGGATATTTAGGTTTCCTTTCTCAAGAAAGGCAAGGCATGGAGAAATCCACATGGCCCTGGACTGCTTATTTTTCAGTTTTCTGAGCTTACATTGCAGTACTTTACCATCAAGGCAAGAACTACATGCTGTTTAATTGCCTCTAAGTATAACTGCTGCAAGCCTTAGTAATTATAGTTAACATTCTCTGCATTAACAATGCACTGTTCCCTTAGGGTTTTCACAGTGATTCACAAACAAATGCATTCAACTTTAAATAGCTCAGGAGGATTATAGGACCCAAAAGGTGAAGGATAGAGGATGTTTCCTGCTCTACAATTATTCAAAGCTTAGCACATAGGAAGGCAGAGGCATCCAGGACCTTAAAGTTTTGGTTGCCCTTGTCAGTGTTGTTACAAATAGTCATGTGCCCCAGGAAAGAAAGGTTTGAGCTTATTGAGAGAAAGAGTATGATGGTTTTTTGTTTGTTTTATTTCCTGATAAAAGGTCTAATGTTTAAAAACATCTAGGCTTAGAACTTGCCTCAGCTGGTTCACAAAGCTAGATTGAACTAGGCCTGGAAGGAAAGGAAATGTCAAGACAGTATAGAAAAAAATTTAAAAGTTTTTGTTTTCTAGTCACCTAGGTAAAGCTTACTACAGGTCTGGTATGAAAATATAAGATAGGTTTCCTTCCACCTGGAGAAAGTTCAGCGATTTTAATTTGGGGAGGGGACAGTTATAAAACAAAGGGAGTTTCCCCACTGGTACATGCCAGTGTTGTCTGACTGGAAATTCTAGAGAGAAGTGATATGGACTCATTACCATGAAGGAGATACCTGGTTTCTGCAATGGGGGCGTCAGGTTTGTTCTTCCTCTTGGCCCCAGATAAATGAGTGCGGGCAGTGCTGGTAGGGTGGGTAACTTCTCACATTGCTGGTTCAAGGGCTTGGGAACTTGTTGAAAAGTCAGAGTTGAATTCCTGTGTTTCTTTTTGACCAAGTTATCAATAATATTTTCAGATTTCAATCTTAACAGCGAAGGTATCCCAAACTTCAGCTTCCACGAGAATGATAGTGACAAATGTGCCTCACTTGGAAGAATTTCTGCCTTAGAAAGAGTCCATAGGTTGATTTATTAGTATCGAGAGGTGTCCCACGTGTATTATGGGGAGCATAATCTGCTCATTTGCTAGCAAGGTGGGAAGGCTGCACTTTGCCTTATCTTTTTGCAAGAGTGTGTATGTCATCTTTAAAGAGCTCTGAGATCCTCCTCATTCATTCCCGTAGAGCTAGGATTTGACTTGTAAGTCACAGGGTACAAAGAACTCACCTTCTTATTCCCACCCTGCTTCTACCTTTGCTTTTGTATATGGCTTATAGGCTTGCAAAGATGAAGAATTGTGTTTAACTCACTTGTATTAGATTTGATTCATTAGTTTGAGTCTTTAGGGATCTTTGAAGGTTCCAGAAAAGAAGTCAAGAGACTACAGGAAAGGTTCATTGACTAAGGCTCAAGAGGTAGAAATCACAAATAACCTGTGGTGTTTTAATAAAGAATTAGTATGGCACTGCTGGTCAATGAGGAGACTAAAGACTTTTGAACCATTGCACGGCAGCTTTACTTTTGAGAAGCAGAAACTTTCCAGGACAGCAGTGATGGATTATTTTGGGTAACTAACCAGGACCACAGGCTTTAAAAAGACAATTCTGGCCTCCTTATACCTTCAGCCTTTGATTACCTTTTTCCTCCTCTCTATTTAGAGAGGAGTCAGCTATATAAAAGAGGGTGGGCTTCCTTTTCTTACCAAATAAAACCTTTCTCCCTGGAGAGGTCCCCTCCCCCCCATTTTTTAGTGTTTCTCTACTGTAATAACCAAAATAAGATATACATTCCTGCAGAATATTTCAGTGTAGAGTGAAGAGCAGAGGTGAGGACATCCATAAGTGGGAACCTGAAAAACTTGCCATACAATACAGACCGTACTGATGGGAATAGATTTGGGGAAGATGTAGAGATAGGGAAGGAAAAAGAGATTAAAAAGGAGCTCCTAATTTCTATCCCTCTTCACATTCTCTTTATGAGAAATACAAGGCAGCCTGCTACTCATTGTAAAGGACCTTCCCACAGTTATTCTTTTTCGGAGCTGGACTCTAGGACAAGAAAAGGCTGGATTTGGGGGCTGCATAACTGACCCTGTTGCTCTCTTTTCTTCCATCTTGCAAATCTCCCACCCCGGATTTCCAGCTGAAAAAGAAGCAGGTGTACGTAGATAAGGTGGAGAAGATGCAGCAGGCCCTTGTACAGCTCCAGGCAGCATGTGAAAAACGTGAGCAGCTGGATCACCGTCTCCGCACACGGCTGGAGAGGGAACTGGAATCTCTCAGGATCCAGCAGGTATGGAGAACTTAAAGGAAGAAAGAAAAAAACAGTAAGAAAACGAGATTATTCCTGGTTGGTTATTTTTCAGTTGGTGTCTGACATGAACACAAAAAGTACACATTTGCTCGTCTTTACATTTTTTACCGCACCTGATCTGACTCCAGAGTGCCTCCCAATTATAAATACTAAGTCCTTAGCTTCCTGTCCCAGTGAAATCCATAATGCCTGTGATCTTGCACCTTTTATTTTCACCTGAACCCCAGAAACAGTAGATCCTATGAGAAGTGAAGCTATACAAAGAGACTCCTGGACATTTTAGAATTGGAAATGGTCTTTAGGAATCTTCTGTCTATACTGCCCCTTGGTTTTAAATGAGAGAAAATTGAGACCTGGGAAATATTGCACGACTCACTAAAGATCACACACCAAGTTAGGGTCAAGGTAGGAACTAAATCCTAGATTTTTAAATTTCCATTTCTATTGTGTACCATGCTAGCAGGCAGAGATGGCTGTTTTTACCCCACTGATCCACTGTCTGAGCAGCATGACAGTTTGATATGATAGACTCCTTTCCTGACCAAAGGAGTCTCACATTCAAACCCAAGTTAGGAAGTCCTGTGGCCTTAGGAGGAGATATGAATTCCCCTTGCTTCTTTCTGAATCAGAATCCAAAGCGAAGTAGCTTGGGCAGTAATCCTTTCTAAGAATAAGGATTCTTTGGACATCCTGGTTCTTTCCTCATTAACCTGAGGGAACTGACATCTCCCCCAACAGCGCCAGGGCAGCTCGCAGCCCACCAACGTGTCAGAATACAATGCAGCTGCACTGATGGAGCTCCTTCGGGAGAAGGAGGAGAGGATCCTAGCCCTGGAAGCTGATATGACAAAGTGGGAGCAGAAGTATTTGGAGGAGAATGTGATGAGACATTTTGCTCTGGATGCTGCTGCAACCGTCGCTGCTCAGAGGTAAGCCATTAGCTGGTAGGGCCACTACTTGAAGGGTGTAAGTGGGAACAACAGAAAGGTAACCGATTCGCAGATTTCCCAGTGTTTTCTTTTCTTTAATATTCGTTTCCCCCATCCTCTCCCCCACCCCAGCTTTCTTCTTAAGTGTGTTTTCTTTCATGTAGTTATGCAGAAACTGAACGGCTGTGGGGACAGAAGGTCAGGGATTTGGGGGAGGGAAAGAAAAGCTGCTTTATGAACTTATTGGAGTCATAGCTTAAGCTTTCCTGAGGGGCAGAGCAGTTGCAGATGGGATCAGCTGAATGTCACACCTTCTTCCCCAGAGCCACAGATTCTTTTAGCTACATGTGCAGGTTGTTTAGCCCCAGGACTGGAATGAAAGCCCCTCCTGAGAAATGCCACTCAGAAGCTAAATGTCACTCAGGAGTGGCTGCTGCCATTTGATAGTTCTGGCTTGTCCAAGGTATGTCAAAGGCTGTGCTGAACATGAATCCACCCCTGCCCTTTGAGAAGGTCTATATTTGAAGGCCACATTCTCTGTGTGCATGAGCTCATCACATGGGAGCAGTCACATTCCACCTGGGAGGGGAGAGAAAGTGGCGGGAGGATGTGTAGTTTTTGCTTCTTGATTGTTCCTCTTTTCATACTGTAAAACTTAATTTTTGGCCTTTGAAGGAAACAATTGCTTTTATCCCATTTTCTGTCTCACTGCTGTTCATAATCATCAGTTGGGAAAGAAAGAAAGAAAGAAAGAAACAGCAAAAATGAAATTTAGATCAGGTGGTGACTTGGGTTGTGGAGATAACAGATAACTCCTTGGTCTGCAGTTGGGGATTGAAGGTGGGCTTACAGCATAATGCACCCAGATAGGTCTCTTCAGAAACTTATTAACAACCACAGTGTTGTTTTTAACATTCCCTAATGTGGTAAGCCGGCAGAGTCTGGAAGTACTTGCCAGACTTTGGGCTGGGATATGTGTGTGGAGGGGGTGGTGGATACATTTATGTTTGAGTCTTTCTTATGCTGAATCAGAAGAGGAGGGAGGGTCAGTGCTTAAGAGCTGGACCCGTGCTTTGTAAACCTACTCTCAGTTCTCCAGGAAGACAAGTTATGTCTCTCTAATGTGATATACCTGTCTTCAGATATCCCCTATACCTTAAATAGATTGAAGCTGCCTGTGGCTTGATTTTGAGGTCCTCATGGGCTTAAGCTTCTCTGGCTTTGTTTCCTGAGAAAGGCCTGCTCAATACATGCTGGTGTGGTAATAATAGGGTGTACAGAAACCCCAGCTCATCCAGAAGATGGGCGTGAGGTTTGTAGGCAGATCAGAAGCAGAATTCAGCAGAATTTTACCTGCTAGCTCCCAAGGAAACATCTGTACCAGGCACTTCTTCAGAGGTTGTTCTTAAAACCCTAACACTGAAAACATTGTCACTGTCGGCTGATGGGGAGATGCAGGGTAATTTTGTCATCTTTAGGCAGAAGCTTAGAAAGATACAGCTCATGAGCATGTACAGTGTGAGAAAATGTTGGGAAGCTAGGGTTCTTGGTGCTGACTTCAGAGTAGACTCCAGGTAAAAATTCAGAAGGCTAGTGGGTTGTCACCTGGGACCTTGTATAAAGAAACTAACCACCTTCCTTCCTCCCTCCCTTGAAACTTTTGAATATTGGGGGAACCCCCTTTCAGATGGATTCCTAGAATCCGTTGCTTCCCATAAGGTAGATTTAATTTAAATCACATTCCTTTAAATGACCAGGTGGAAAGTTTCCATGTAATCGCTATTTTTGCAAAATGTGCATGCTTATCATTAAATATAATAAAACACAGCCAGTTCCCACTTAATAGGAACACTTTCTGATAGTTCACAGACAAACATTCCAGATCTGGACTGTGTGCATTTTTTGCATGCTAGGAATCCAACCCATAGGAGAGATGGAGAGATAGAGAGACTGCATTCAAAAAGAAAAGAAAAGAAAAGAAATTTTTGTAAAATGAGAGAACTGGACTAGGTGATTCCTCCAGACTCTTCTATTTCTGGGATTATGCTATATTTCCAAAAATAGTGGCTCTTATGCTCTGACACAGAGATTGGTTTTCTTTTCTTTCTTCATGCAGTTTCAAATTTGGGAGGTAACATTCAGAAAATTTTATTTCAGAACCTGTGGGCTCTTCTGCCTTTCTTTCCAACATCTCTCCCCATTTCTGTACTGTCCACGTGCTTCCCTCTTCCTCCTTCAAACCCAAAATGGAGGTATTGGCCAAGGTTCTGCCCTTTGCCCCATTCTGTGGTAAAAGCTTTATATTCTTTTTGCTTTCAAAATAATTTTTAAGTGCCTAGGATATTGGCTGCAGATGGAAAGTGCTCAAAATATATTTGAAGACAGAAGGAAGAAAAGAAGGAAGAAAAAAGGAAGGAAGGAGAAAAGAGGAAGTGAGAGAAGATGATTTTTAAATGTGTAACTTAAACCCTTAAATCTAATGCCACATTTTAATGGCCTGCTTCGTTTCTGTGTATTCTGCTAGTATTGCAAACTTCATATGTTCCAAACCTAATAGCTCATAAGTAAATGACAGGTTTCACAATTAGAACTTCTTGCTTGGGTGGTGTCAGTGGTAGTTGTAGAAGACAGAGTATTTTCAATTAAGGTATCAGTTACATATTTTTAAAAATCCTATGTTTTAAGTATATAATTTGATAAATGTTTGGTAATTATATACAATAGTGTAGCCACCACCACAATCAAGGTAAGAGGACATGTTCTAAAATGTCCCTGTACCCCTTGAACTTGATCTCTTCCTCCCCTGCCTGACCCCAGGCAATGACTGATCTGCTTTTTTGTCATAAAATTATAATTTTCTTTTCTAGAATGTCATATAAGAGAAGTCATATTGTGTTTTTTTGGTTGACTTCTTGTGCTCAGCATAATTATTTTAAGATCCATCCAGATTGATGCCTGTATTAATAGTTTTTTTTTTTTTTTTTTTTTTTTTTTTTTTTTTTTTTTTTTTTTTTTTTTTTTTTTTTTATATTGCTGGGTAGTGTTTCATGGTGTGGATGTACACAGTTTATTTAACCGCTGGACTGATGATGAATATTTGCATTGTTTCCAGTTTTGGGCCATTGTGAATAATAAAATACAGATTTTTAATATAAGAACAGACAAGTGTCTTTTCTCAGTTGAGAAGACATAAGACATATTAGGTGGTCTATTTGTACCCCTTCCAACACTTTGATTCTATGAAGCACCTCTTGTCAAAAGGAAAGATGTCGATGCAGTGAGTTCAGACAAGATTAGGGTATGAGAAGTTAGGTTTGGCCTTCAAGAGTGCGGAAGCAGGCATCGTAGTCCATATGGATAGTGCTAGCATCGCTTTTCATGCCTAATGCAACTAGGCATCGGATACAGCAATTCTGTGATATTGGTCAGTTGCATGCTGAAGTGAATTGTATTTGATGAAAAGTTAAGAGGACCCAGAGAGAAAGTTGATGATTTTTTATCTTATTTAAAGTGAGTAGTTGATACTTAAAATATTTGTTTTGTTCAAAGTGATAACAGGAAATTTATTTACTTATCAAACACCTGCAGTGCTCCACAAGTTGCTGTTCTAAGCACTTTACACTTGTTATTTAGCTTCTCAACAATACTTTGAGGTGTAGGTACTGTTATCCATTCTACAGAGGAGGAAAATGAGGCACAGAGGAGTTAAATATTTTGCCCAAGATCATACATAGCTACTGAAGGGCAGAAGAACCAGAATTTAGGTCTACATTTTTGTTGCCTTAGCTGCTATACTCTGCTGCCTCCTAGGTATAATGTAGCTCAAAGATGCTGAAATAGTGATTATTAGCTGTTCAGTAAGGTACTGTTTAAGGCTTATTACTTAGTCACTTGGAAATATTACAGAAAATCACAATAATATGGTCTACATTAAGGCTCCATATTATTGTGTCCCTGGAGAGCCCTCTGTAGATGCTTAATATAGAATGAAGGGAAATTACTACTTAGTAGGAATCCCTGTTCGTTCCCAGAAGACCCAATTTGGCAATGCAGATTTTTAGTTTCAGCTCACAAGCAGTGAATTTATTTCTGAAGAGCAGCAAAAGAATAACAAGATAACACACCCAATCGACCATGTAATTTATTAGTTTGCACTTACTGAATCAGGTTGTTACCTTTCTCTGAACGTGCAGTGTTTCATGTTTATTTTGGCAAAGTAAATCCAAGAAAGGAGGAAGTAAAGAAACGGAAAGCAGAAGGTAGGAGATGGTCCTACATATCACTCATGTCTACCTGTTCCTTCCTTGTAGGCATTTCTCAGCTTCCATCCTTTGCTTGCTTCTCATTCTGCGTTCTGTCTTAGTTATCTTATTCTTGGTTATAGCTTCTCTGTAATAATAATAATAACAACTCTGTAATAGTAACTTTGACATCTCTAAGATTAAAGTTACAATTTTCAACAACTTGTTGGATATTATCATATGGCTATTCTTAAGATATTTTCACTCCAGCGTACCTAAAACCAAAACCCATTACAGTGCTTTCCAAAGCACCTCTCCCGAGTTTCCTATCACAACAAACAATATGTCGTCTTTCCTAGTCATTTGAATTAGAAATCACAAAGTTCTCATTCATTTGTTCCTCTCCCTAACACCCACATTGAAAGAGTCTCCAAGTTCTATCAATTCTGCCTCCTACAGCCTGTTTCCACTTCCCTTGCCACTTTACCAGTTCATTATCTCTTGCTGGGATTATTGCAATCACCTTGCCAACAGGTCTGCCTGATTCCAGTGTCTCTCTCCTCTAATACCTCCATCACATTTCAGCAAGAGCTAATGCTGTCTTCCTAAAGCACAGCTCAAATCATTTCATTCCCCTCAAAAAGCTCTAATAATTTCCAGTGCCTATTGGAATAAAGTTCAAACTCATTCCTGTAGTGGTGGTTAATTATTTACTTTTTTCTCTTCCCTTGCAAGTTTCCTGCAGTCAAGGACTAGTCTTACCCATGTCTCTTCCCTCTCCAGCCTCCCAGCATCTTCAGACACAGTGCTCCACTTATGGTAGAGTTCATGTATTAAATAAACAACAGGATGCTATTGATAGGAAAGGATGTACTTGAAGTTTAAAAGGCTACTAGATGTTTTAATTAGGAGGTTGCTGGTGACATTTTAGAGAGCAGTTTGGATAATGTGATGGAGATAACTTTGTCAGAGAAAGGAAGGAGAGAGAAGGTATTGATAAAAACTGTTTACTTAGGAATTTGAGATATGGAGGATGTCAAATTCAGGAATATGCGGTTTGGGGTTGCAGGTTGTGTTTTCAGATCTTAGCCTGGCATCTCCTGATGTTCTTAAGGATAGCCTCAGAGTATTGGAAGGTAGCAGGTCAAGCTGCTCTTTCAAACACCGTGCTTGCATGCTTTTGCCTAAGCCATTTTCCTAGTAGTCCTAGTCTTCTAAAAGGAAGATTGATGCTGAGGGCTGCCCTGGCAGCCCTGTAGGAATTCACTAAGTGCCCCACATTTTCAGGCCCCATTCCTGAGGAGTTCACAGTGTCCATATCAATTAGCTGGCGGAGCTCTGAGTCTCCAAAATGGTCTTTTATGCAATGAAAGTGGCAGTAGGCCAGCACTGGTTCCCCCAGTGACAAACCGTATGCTCAAGTCCCCAGTGTCCATAGACACCGTGCACTTTTTGAGAGGCCTGGCTCTAAAGCTTCAGCCATCAAATAGGAACTCTGCAGTGCAGGGATTGCCTCCAGGATTATACCAAGAGCTGGAATTCTTTCAAGTCCTACTCTCTCATGTGTTATTCTCCTTCTACCTACGTACTTCTTTCTTAATAACAGGTAGCTGTGTCGAGTGCTTTTCCTGGGCCTGACACTGTGTTTTTTACATGCATAATTTAGTTTTATCCCCTGTGAGATGAACAATTATCGTTCCCATTTTGCATATGAGGAGACTGAAACTTAAAGCAAGTAACTGACTTTCTGAGGTCACGGAGTTTGTTAGTGGCACAGCACTTGGGGAAGCTGGATCTTGACCCTGGGGTTGTCAATAATCAAAGCTGTGCTCTGAAGCAGTAGCCAGTGCTGCTTCCTCTTGGGTACCCAGTAGGACTACAAGCATGTGAATTGCACTAGAGGAAGTGTAGAATTCTGAGATGTTAAAATATTTTGAATTTAGCAAGTGATGAGAGCCACTGTATTCCTTACCCTTCTTGCTCTCTAATTATTTCACCGTTCCAATAAATGGTTTCAACCTTGCATATAAGGTACAAGCATTTGGGGGAACAGGAGTTTTGCAGAGACTCACCAAAATTCCCCAACCTTAACATCAGCTTTCTGCCTCTTCTTTCCTTTGCCACTACACTCCAATCTGCACTGGTCACAATCTCGAAGCTAAGAGAACAGAGCCAGCTGCCAGCAGAAAATAAGCCTGGAGTCCTCCCACAGATCCTCACTCTCTTAGGAAGTGTAATGAAGCATTGCCAGTTCAATGTTTTCTCAGCCTATTGTTTAATTTCCTTTAAGACCAATATAATTACATCAGTATTCTCCCTAATCCTAATACCCTAATACCTCTGTGTTTGTATCTCTCTCTGTTTCTCTCTCTCTCTCTCTCTCTCTCTCTCTGACACACACACACACACACACACACACACAGTTTTCCTTATTAATTGGTCTTTGAGTTAATGGCCTGAGACACTTTCAGATGGAACATGACGGTCCTTTATGCAGTCAGGGATTCTGGCAAGAGAACAGTCACTTAGTCGGGATAGACTCGACGATTTGGTGCTAGAGTTTTCCAGATGTAGATTAGATAGGAACGGAGTGGTACCGACTCAAAGGCCCTGCTCGGTGGCTCGTATGCCCTACCTGATCTTAGCTGTTGATGTGTCTATTGTTTGTTTCTAGCACTCAGGTGTAGTTACAATATTCATCTGCAGCAATAAGCTACTTAGTACACCCTCTGACTTCCTTCAAAGTCTGGCCTTTCCCCCTTCCTGACTGTCATAAGAATAAAGTGGAAATACATACACATTCTCATTGCTTGGCCGTGATCTAGAATCGTGAAGGGACTATCTGCCAGAAGGTTTTGGGAGGATGTCTTCCCAGTTCTAAAGGCAAACCTGTGCACATCTCATAGGATCTCTCCCTGATTTTTGCAGCCATATCCATGCCAATAACCTCTTCTGTCCTGAAAGCTGAACCTTCCTATCTTGGAGGCTCTTACCATTAAGTCACCCAGAAACCAACTGTTCCTACCGAGATTGATTTCAGCTTAGGGCTTTCTAGTGAAGCCTCTTTTGACATAGGAGGGAGATAGCCTGCATTGATTTTGCACCCCTTCCATTGTCATCACTGCCATCTTCCTCCCCAGGGACACAACGGTCATCAACCACTCTCCTAATACCAGCTACGACACAGCTCTAGAAGCTCGCATCCAGAAGGAGGAGGAAGAAATCCTGATGGTCAACAAGCGTTGCCTTGACATGGAGGGCAGGTAAAGTGTTGATCTGGACCCAGACGGACCTAAGAAGTTAGTATAGAGACCAGATAGGTCAGTAGGGAAGGGCAGGCATCTTTATTCACAACTGGGGAACATGATCATGCAGCCTCCCCCCCCCCCACTACCTTCACCCCTGCCAGCCTGTTACTTAGGGTTTGAGATGTAATGACCTTTACCTTGATCATTCCCACTGACCGTGGAATTCCAAGTAGGGCTGCTGTTCCCTTGGCCTTCCTAATTGCTTTCCGTCTGCCCTCTGCCAGAGCTGAATTGTTGGCATTTGCACCCTGGGATATTCTTTCTAGCACTACACCTCAACCCTGTGATATAGCTGACTACTCAGTAAAAAACATCCACTCAAACTGGGAGTTAGATCACCTGATGCCTCTTATAAACTCATGATCATTTACTTATTACCTGAAGGTTGTGGCTCATTCATAGGAGATCTCATCTTCTCACTGAACACATTGTTTTCATTGACCCCAATCCTTCACTAGAGTGCCCACGACGTGGGTTCATTCTGTCATGTACATACGCCTTCCTTTTCACCAGTACTTTACCTTGACTTCCTAAGGTTTAAGAAATAGCTCCTGGATGCTCTGCTGTATCCATTTGGGTGTACAGAAAGACATTAAAAAAAAAAATCTTGTAGTATATCAACCCTTGTCTTCCAACTCAGAACCAACTAGACCACCCCTTAGTCAAAAAGATGATGGGAACTCAAGTCCATGTAAGCAGTGGGTCCAGAACACGGAGGTAGCAACAAAGTAGTTTATATGGTCTTTGTCTTTGGCTCCTAGGATTAAGATCCTCCATGCCCAGATTATTGAGAAGGATGCCATGATCAAAGTACTCCAGCAGCGTTCCAGGAAAGAGCCGAGTAAGACAGAGCAGCTGTCATCAATGCGGCCGGCAAAATCTCTGATGTCCATTTCCAATGCTGGGTCAGGCTTGCTTTCCCACTCATCCACCCTGACTGGTACCCCCATCATGGAAGAGAGGCGGGACGACAAGAGCTGGAAGGGGAGCCTAGGTAATGACAGTAAATGGGAAGATTATAATCACACATTCAAAGAGAAGCCCTGACTGAGATGTGTCCCTGCAGCAAGGAAAAGAGGCGATGGCCTAGGTCTGAAGAGGAAGATGTGCAGGTTGGGGTTTTCCCCTCCTTAGAGGTTAGCTGCATGTTCGGGAGCTCCTTCCCACCGTGAAGTCTCATGGTGAGAACACTGATTGAGGCCAGTTCCTGAAAAGATAAGAATCCTGAGTCCTGTTTGGGTGGGAAAGAAGATAACTTCACTTTCCTCTATAGAATTCTCAGATTTGGCCTTTGCCATGTGGGACCTTTTGTCTTTGTCCAAAGCCCATGTCGCCTTCGTGTCATTCAAAATTTCAAAATTCCAGCACTTTTATGTTCCTTCCACCCCTATAATAGGAGGACCCAGAGTTCTAGTTAGCTAAATAGAGCTGGGTGGCAGGTTTTTGTTACCAGAATGTTCTGATATGAGGACAGAATGTACTTTTTCATTCCATTCCTGTCTATTTCTTCCCCTCTAATCAAAACCCCAGGAGTATTGAGGATACCAAAAGGTACATTTTTAGAGCCCAAGGAAGCAAGCTATGTGTATTTTTATTTTGGTGCTTCTTGTTGCTTTTTATTACCTTTCTCGGTCTTCTGACGGTGTCTTGGTTAGAGTAAGCATTGTGGGGACGTGGTCATGGCTCAGAACCTTAGATCACTTAATATTATCACACTCATCTGTGTCCACAGACTTCTTCCCTCAGTCCTTCCCAGCTTTCTGGTATAGTGTAGTGTAGTGTTTATGAGTGGAACCGAGTAGAATTCTAACAACTCGGTGGAACATATTAAGCATTGGAAAAATCAATCAAAACAGATACCAAAAACACTTAAAAGATTCAATCTATTGTTCTGAGAGTTGGATAAGGAGGACCAGAAGGGATCTTCCAAGTCTGAAGTAAACTTTTAGCCCTCGTGAGAAGTGCTTGACAAACTGATTCCTGGGTTGCTGGAGGCAAAAATAAAGAATTTCGACCCGTTCATATTTCTCCTGAACTCTTACAAGGGAGAACAGGTAATCAGATGTCTGGATTTGATTGACCTGTTGTTTTCAACCTCTTTCCCTCTTTCATTTGTAGGTATTCTCCTGGGTGGAGACTACCGCGCCGAGTATGTCCCTTCCACACCATCACCTGTGCCACCCTCGACTCCTTTGCTCTCGGCTCACTCCAAGACAGGCAGCCGAGACTGCAGCACCCAAACTGAACGTGGGACGGAACCGAACAAAACTGCCGCTGTTGCTCCCATCTCTGTTCCTGCTCCAGTTGCCGCTGCCGCCACTGCTGTTGCCATCTCTGCCACTGCTGCCACCAACACTGCCACCGCTGCCACCAACACCACCACCATGGTAGCTGCTGCTCCAGTTGCTGCTGCTCCAGCTGCTACTGCTGCTGTTGCTGCTGCCCAACCTCCAGCAACTGCTGCTGCTATTGCTGCTGCTGTTTCTCCAGCTGCTGCTGCTCAGATTCCAGCTGCTGCCTCTGCTGCTGCTGCTGTTGCTCCTGCTGCTGCTGCTGCTGTTCAGGTTGCTCCAGCTGCTCCGGCTCCGGTTCCAGCTCCCGTTCCGGTTCCGGCTCCAGCAGTGGCTCAGGCTTCTGCTCCGGCTCAGGCTCAGGCACCAACTCCGGCTGCGGCTGCGGCTCCTACTCCAGCTCCAGCTCCAACTCCAGCTTTGGCTCAGGCTGAGGCTCCTGCAAGTCCAGCTGCCGGCTCTGGACCACGTCGTTTGTCTATACCAAGTGTGACCTGCAATCCAGACAAGACAGGTAATAATTCTCTGTAGCAGGTAGCTTTTGGTTCTGCCTTCAAATACAGATTAGTTTGTTGGTGCCTGCTGTTTAGGCAGCATTGGTCATTGGGACTGAATTTTTCATGTTCTAACGGGGTTTCATCAGGGGAGAGAAGAGAAGAGAGTCTGTAAATGACTTCTTGTCCACTAAGATGGGGCCAGGCACAAGTAAAGGCCATCCCCCCAGTAGAAGCTAATGAGGAGGGTGGCAGGCAAGTCTCACTTTGCCATTGGGCTCTAGTGCTGTGTAGTTCTACAAATTTGAGATTTTACCTTGTCCTTAAGTGTTTTCTAATCCATTATTTTCATTTAGATGGCCCTGTTTTCCACTCCAATACTCTGGAAAGAAAAACTCCCATTCAGATCCTGGGACAAGAGCCTGATGCAGAGATGGTGGAATATCTCATCTAAACGGCCAAATCAAAAGCTACAGTTTATCAGCAAGAATGCTTTTAATCATTTTCCCCTTTTGTTTGTTCTTATTTTGAGGGCAAGGACAAGGGTTGGGGGGAGGGAATGTTTTTTAAAGGGACTTTTTATTGGGACAATATAGTACTTTAAGAAATACCATGTGAACTCCAGTCTGTTCTGGTGTGCTTATACTTAGGGAGTACCTCTAAAGACAGATTAATCAGAATGTGCTCTGAAGTTTATTGTTTGGATTTATACAAATACTAGGACTGTATTTGTAACAGGTAGATATACATCAATGTTTTCAGTGTGCTTAAATTTGTTTAAAATTTCCATATTCCAGATCATTTTTTCTTGAAGAGCACAGTATGTGTGGAAGACAGTGTGTAACACGTAGTTCGGAAGTGGGAAGCTGGACAGAATTTGAGTGTGTCCTGTTTTGTATAGTTACTATCTAGACAGCAGCCAGAGAAAGCTCTCACCTCGGGCTCACGAAAGGGAATAGTTTTAAGAACTATGTAAGCTGGAGGAAAGGTAGGGAGTTATTGGGGAAGGGTGCTGGAGCTCATTTCACTTCTCAATTTCCCAGCTACCCTGCCCCAGGGGTTGGCATTTATCTTCATTTCAGTGGTGCTTTGGAAGTGGATTCTTTTGGTTCCCTCTGGAGGTTCATACATTCGTATATATGCTCTGGAGAAATTTATGCATTTGAATAATTAATATATTGCTTTCAGATGCTAGGAGAGTAAATTAACTGAGTGATGCACAGCTTCCTCTCTCTTAGGGAGTTAGACCATCAGAGACCTGGATGGAGAGTTGCATGAGGTGCTGTAGGCAGACTTTTGTAGTCCATGGGTAGCCATGAACACAGCTCGCTTGCCATTTGTAAGACCAATCAGCTTAGTGTTTATTTCTTCTACAGCTGATTCACTGGCTGGGTCACCAGTCTCAATCATTTACAAAATGAGGAAGTGTTTTTGTTGACAGTTTGAACGCTTTGAATTTCTGGTGACTACTTTGAAATAACTCATTTTGTTTTCCCAAATTTTTGGCATGTCCTGAAAGGCATATTTGACTATCACCTCCGAGGGAATAGCATCAGAAGCTCAAAGTACTATGCTGCAATCGAGGGAGAGGTTGATTGCAGCAGTGTCCTCAACTACCTCTTCTCACTGCCAGTGACTCTATCTTGGAATATCTTTAGGAATCAGTGGGAAATGTGGGCAGGGACCAAAGGACACAATGGCTCCAAGCCTTGCCATAGGGCTGCCTCCAAAGACACAGAGTGATACCAGTTGCCACAGTTCCCTGCCCTGTGTCACCTCTCTGCCCTTCATTAAGGTGACAAATCCACAGATGGCGTCAAGATCAGTTTTCAGGGGTATAGGGAGGGTGAGGGGTGTGGGGGGTGTTAGGTAAGGGTGGGGGGTACAGTTTTGGGGGATGTGTTAGTTAGAAACCAGATTAATAGAAGAGTAGGCCTGATATATTACATCATAAGCCGTAATGGCGGGAAGGAACTTTAGCAATATAGCCCTACTCCTCATTGTAATGATGAGGAATATGAGACCTGGAGAGGTTTGGTGACTTTTTCAAAATCTCACAGCACAGCTGTGTACTTTGCCAATTATCATACTTATTTGGGGAAACTCTTATATACCTAAAAAAAAAAAGTGCTTATTTTGAGAAAAGACATCTTTACAGTCCAGGGCATATGTAGTTTGTAAAATGTCCCTGGCTCGAGTAATTTGTACAGGGTGTGAATTCCTATCTTGCCTCTCCTGCAGTGCCTTGTGCAAGGTATTCCCTTTCCTGATCCCCATTTCAGCATCAAATCACATGAAACATCCCCCTAAAGAATCAACCCCACTTCTTTTCTCACTATGAGATTGGGTGTCTTGGATCATCTTATGGGGTTCCTCTGTGAGTATAGGAATGGCACATTTTTAACAGTATTCTTGTGTAGTTTCTAATTATCTTCCAAAGGAATTATTTTGTGTGGGAGTGGAGGGGGTGAGAAAAGAGAGAGGGTGATGTGATTTTCAGGCAGTCTTTTCACATTTTCAATAATGAAGTGATCATCCTAGCTACACATTAGTCCTTGGTTATAAAGTGAATCCCAAATAGAAATTAAAAATGCAGTTGTGTTAATACAAATTCATACTATCCTTTAGTCATAGGAGAAAACAAAATCAAATAGAAGCAGCAAGTAGCTAACTTTAGGAGAGCTACCTTCTATCCAAATAAATAAAAATAAAAACAAACCTTTCATCTACTCCTTTCATGGTTATAACACATTGCCAAAATTTTTGCTGGCTCTGGGAGCCATGATTTTAATCACATTCTGTAAGGTGACAGATGTCATACATTCCACATTGTGTGGCAGCCATCTCTTTAGACTCGTGTTTTAAAGAAAGGAGGAAGTTCTTGGCTAAGTACCATTTTGAACTTTCTGGAACATCTCTGTCCTCTCATACCAGAGGCAGTCTCTCTCAATCATAGTAGTAATTCATGCTCAGTCTTCAATCACAGGTAATTTGTTAAGTAGCATTGTACATCTAAGAGAGGGAAGAAGGCCATGTAGTAGGTGTGTTATGTTTATGGAGAAGATAGATTCAGCCTTTTCAGAAAATCTCTACTATGTATCCTTTTAAAAATTCAGGTTTATGGGAAAAATCTCAAGTTAGCCACCTTTTCACAATTATGTGGGTGTAACATTTGGGGGATCTTTCTGGACTCCCACTATCTATGCATTTTACTGGCACCTCAGGACAGGAGGGTTATCCTGTCTTAACTTGTGCTGCCTGGTGGTCTCTGGGGGCTTTCTAATTCAGTTGTACTCCAATGTCCCATGTACAGAAAAACTTCATTAGAACAAACTTTAATTGATTTAAAATTCCTATTAACAATTTTTAAAAAATAAAAGTAGTTTGAACTTTCTTTTAAAATCATGTATCTTGATTGTTGTTTTAATGAAAGATTTACTTTCAATGCTGTTTTTGAGCTTCAGGGTGACAGGACAGCAGTAACTAAAATATCTGCCATCATCTGCCATAGGAAACATACCAAGAGACCTGTCATGTTTTCTTTTTGTTGTTACACTGTTGGGTGGTATAGCAATTGGCAAATGAACAAACTGTACAAACTCCTTTTTATGAAGAGCCTAAACACTCAGAATATGGCAGCCTAAAGTGTATTACATTTGTACTAACTTTGATAAATTATATTCTCATGTGTGTTAGCTGTACAATGTCTTGTTATCTCAATTGCTCATTCCCATACAGAATATGTTACTTAAAATGGGTGCATTCTTACTGAAAATGTTTTCGAAGGAAGGCATCAGCTGTGGGCTATTGGCCACCAATTTCAGCCCACCACCATCCTTGGAAATATATCATCCAAGTGTCCTCCATCATCAGTAGGACGAGTGTTGGGATTTTCTTTGTTTTTTTCTGGTAGCAATGATGGGTTACATGGAGGCACCAAACCTCCTTCTGGTCTCCCTTGTCATTAATGGCATGTGTTTATAAAATGGAGAGGTGGGGTTGGCAGATGGTTAGAGAAGAATCGCCTTTGGTTTAAAATGTATGTGGTCCCATAATGATTGTGACCCCAGTCTGTAATCAACTGAGCTAGTTCCAATAAAGTTAAGCAGGTTTAAGTCCACTTTGTGCCTATCTTTTCACTGACAATAAAGTTAGCTATTTTAAAATGCAGTACCGTGTGGAAAATGCTTTGGTGTTAACCCAACAGAGGCTTTATTTGTGCTGTATCACTGATTATTTTCAATTCTGTATGCAGTGAAATTGCCTTTCAAAGGCAGCATGCAGCAGAATTTACATTTGCTTGAAGTATGGAATGTGATTATAGATTATAAAGTATTAAGACAACGCCACAGGCCACATGCTCTAATCGGTCTCTTTATATACGCAGGCAGCATATATTAAAAGCTTTGCATCTTTTTATCTCCTGGTTCCAAGGGATAAAATAGTGGCCACCCAAAGCGGAGAATTCATCCTTTGGTTAGCATTTTGGAAGGCCCCTTGATATTCTTTTCGTACCCTTGTTCTTATGCCAATTCATCAGTTTTGGTTGAGGGAGCTTGTTATTAAAAGCAAATTGAAACCACAAATGAGTTGGCTCTTCACTGGAAATGTTAAGGCTGCATTTACACTGCCCTTTCGGTGCCTCCTGCCTCCTGTTTACCAGTGAGTTTCAAACCTGCCTGGTAAAGAAAGGATCCCCCAAAACATTGAAATGGCATGTTTTCACGGTGAAATTGGCATAATGGATGTTGCAAAAAGGATGGAGTGGGGGTATAGAATTAATTTAACTGAAAATTTGATTTTTTTAAAGTTGGTCTTTATTCCCTCTATATTTATGATGAGAGCTTTGGAAACTCAATGAAAGCTCATCCCTCTTCTTCAAGACAAAGAAAGTGGTGTTAAGTTAACCACACCTTCTTACAAAGCATTCCTTTCAGAAATATGTTGTGCCCAGTTCTTAATGAGCAGTCACTCATAAGAAGAAAAAACCAGGTTTCCTTCCAAGGAGTGTGAGATAGCATTGTAGGAGCATTTCTAGAAATTATCCAGTAATATAACTGGTCTCATATCTGTGTGGTACTTCATCTCCCTTCCTGTGAGCCTTCTCTACTGAGGTAAGTGATCTGCACAACCTATATGAGTTACACAGTTGCAGAAAAAAACACCTCCTGCTTCCCACCTGTCTCCGTCTCCATCTTACCCCGCAGGAAGGTTTTTATTGGAGAAAAGAAAATGTAAATGGTTTGGTCTTAGAACACTTTCTACCTTGACTAGCAGTCGCCCTCGTATTTGAGTGAAGAGTGCTGGGTGACAGGACTCAGTTTCCAAGAAGAAAAACATTCTCCACAACACCAGAATTTCATACCACATCACAAGTACTCATTCAGATGCACAAACTGACCAAGCCCGGGGTATTTAGTTTGGCCTCCATGTCTTTCGATTTGCCAGTCATCTCTACCAGTGGATTCAGGAATGTGTGAGTTGTTGAATAACTACTCATTAGATGTTGCCATTAGGTAAAAGGCCCCAGAATACAAAATTTAAAATACAGTCCACGATTCCAGTTTATTAGAGAAAACTACACACGCACACCGACACTTACAATTCATTATAATATATGAAACGGCGAAAGTTTGAACAAGATACAGAACTAGTGCAAAGGGAGGAATGACTGCTGGGACAGCCCCAGGGGGAATGGAGTGGAACCAGGTTGAGCTTTGAAGGAATTGTCAGTGTTAATCTGGTGAACCAGAGGTTAGGGATGAACACTGCATGTAGAAGAAATACCATGTGCAAAGGTAATCTCACTGTCGGACCTGGAATCAAAGGAAGAGTCTGCTTCCAAGATCAAAGGCCCTAGAGAACTGCTTGGAATTTTAATAACCTCTTCATGGAAACTTACAAACTCAATCAGGTGGTAGAATGTACTAGTCCAGAGGCAAAGAGCACGGACTTCTAGTCCTGCGTCTGCCACTAAACATAAACATGTTTACCTGCAGGGACAAGTTCCTTAACAAGATCGAAGAGTTTTATTAGTAAAATGGGGATGAATACCTTTCCCTGTGGATCTCATGGAGAGGGGGTAGGAGAGAGAGCCTCACAAAGTAAGAATATAAGAAAATGCCAGTATTCATTACTTGGCTTCAACAATTATTAGTTCATGGCCAATCTTGCTTCATTTATGGCTTCCACCCACGCACCCTATATTCTTTTGAAGCATATCCCAGATATCACAGCATTTTCATCCATAAATATTTCAGTATGTGTAAAGATGACATTTTTAGTAATGAAAAAATGTAAAGTGCTACAGCTGGGACCAAAATATATAACTCACGAAAAACCCCAAAATGACAGCATGTTTTGTGCTTTGCCACTTACAAAGCTTCTTCGTTTGATCCCACAACTCCTGCCTTAAATCGAAACCTACAGCCTCAGAAACACAGGGGTTCATTCTCGCACGACCCACATATCAAAGGGCAGGATTTTTCTTAAAGGCTCCTCAGTGTAAGTTCCCAGTCATTATTCGTCTTCTAGTCATACAAAATGCTCTGGCTCCTCTAACGTCCCTGTCATCCAACTGTTCCTTGTTTACCCTCATCTTCTGATTTGGTCACTTTCCCGAGTGCACTGATGGTTTTGACCCCTGGATCACAGTCGTCTCTCCAGCCCCAAACGACCCAACCAGCAGCCTGGCCTGTCAGCCCCTTGTCCTCTCTCCTCCACTGACCTCTGCTCGCTCCACCTCAGCGCACTCTGCTCAGGGCCAGCCCCGGGCCAGTCATCACTCAGCACTGCTCCACCGTGGACATCACGGCCACCCGTGCCCCACTCTGGCCATGGTCTCCCATCCTCCCAGTTCATCTGCTCTGACTCTGCCCTTGGACTCCAGAGAGACCTCAAGTCCCTTGATGCCCCCATTCCCCCCACCTCCCGGTTTTTAGCTCTTACCTATCGATCTGGGCCTCATGCTCAATCATCTGAGCCTGCCATTTACTCATACCTGCTAAAACCTCCACCATTCCTCCCAAGTCAGAAACTCATGAGTCATCCTTGACACCTCCATCTCTCTTATGGCTGATATCCAATCCATTATTGATCCTACCAAAATAAATCTCAAAACACATTCACTTCTTTTCAACTCTTGCCAGCAACCTATTCTAAGCCACCATTATCTTTTACCTGGACTATCTCATAGCCTACTAACTAATCTGTCATGTGCACTCTTGCTTTCCTCTGTTATTCCAGTCTCTATTCAGCAACAAATAAAATTCATATCATGCGATTTACTTGCTTAAAATCTTTCAAAAGCTTCCAACTGCAATGTGAATAAAATGGTGCCATAAAACAATTAACCCAAAGTTTTATAGTTGACGGCTTTGGAACTAGAATGCAGATATCAATGGACTCTTATTCCATCAGAATCATTATCATGTTTTGTTCTGAATATCTTTTCCTTATGTTCAAAGGACACTACCGACATGGCATCATTATTTTCTCTGATAACCTAGAGCAGCATTTCTTGAAGTCCTCTCCAAACTATCTGTCTCAGAATCACCTCAGGTATTTATTCAATGCACACTCCCTGGCCTTGCCTCCAGAGGAATTAGAATTTTAACAAGCTGCCCAGGAGGTTTTGATGTAGCTCCTCCTGAGACCACATACTTCGAGAAACACTGGCCAAGCATTTACTGGCTTTTATCTTACTTTCCTTCCCCTCTTTAGTTCCCCTGCTACATAACAGTCTCCCAATGCATGTGGTCAAACAGGTAAGTCCAGTCTGGGTATTAGCTATTGTACCCGCCCTTACTTTGACTGTGAAATGGCTGCCGATTCTTCTCTAAGTGGTTGGATTTACTGCTCTGATCAAACAGGGCATGTTGTTGGTTACTTTTGTTGTTGGTTTACATGGCTTATAGTCCTTGAGGCAAGCACAACCACATTTGTGATCTTGGCCAGCTCATTTACCTCCAGTGACTGTTCTGTAATATGAGGTCACTGGATTATGATCTCTAATGTCTCTTCTGGCTCCTCTATTCCATGATTCCATGGTACTAAATACTGCCTCTGAGGTCATAAATTCTTTCACACGGATCCAAAATTGTCTATGTGGCACAGATAAAAGACATTTTAAAATTTGAATATACTGAAAATATTCTACAGGCCTGTAGCTTGATTCATCAAGCCTCAATTTTTTTTCCACTCATTCTGTCCACACTTGACACTTTATTCTCCCATCTTGGCTATACCAACTCCATTCTCCTGCTATGCATGCCACTTTCCGAAGAAGACAGGTCCACAGGACTAAGTATCCTAGAAAAATCTGAAGAGATCAAAACAGAGGGAAGGCAGGATAGTTTACATTTCTTTTAAGCCATGAGCCTTTGGTAATTTGCATTTATCCAGTCACAGGGGACTAAGTGGCACAAACAAAGGAGGGTGGAAGGGCGTGCTGAAGACATGTGCCATGTTGCAGTAGATGGCCAAGTGAAGCATGGCAGCTGCCGAGCCATAAAGATAGGAAAAGGGGAAAGGGAGCTAACATTTTTGTGACCCACCAGGTGTTAGAAACTAACTGTGTGACAGAGACATATCTTATGTATTCTTCCCAACAACTAGTTATAAGATCCAAAGGAAAAAAAGAGGGGGCACATATTTCAATGCTCTTTTCTTTCTCTCACACCCAGGAGCAGCAGATACACATTTTGAGAGTCCTGAAGCTCAGATAATTTGGAAGGCCCTGTTTAGGAAAAAGAATTTTAAAAATTATTAATATGCAACCAGAAGCGACATCTTTATTTAGAATGAGAAATCACAACTAAGTACAAATTTTTAAAAGTTGACAAATACCACGGACATCACAATAAAAATTTAAAAAAAACAAAATGAAACAATGTTTTTTTTTTTTTATTAATTAACTGCCAAACACACCATAGTACCTTTTCTCATATACTTTTGGCTTCATATTTTTATTTGCTTCTTTATATGGCAATGGTTTTGCAATATCGTTTTCCATTGAGAGAATAGAAAGATAATTTAGTCTTTCCGCTAGCATGGTTGATCAAAATTTATTATTATTATTATTGGTAGTTGGGACACTAAAGCATGGAACTTCACACACAGATATTCTCAGAGCGTGTAGAACTAATTCAGCTTTGTGCTCTATAAACATA